AAAATTGTACAAACAATATCATATCATATCATATTAAAAGTATTTTCTAACGGTTAAACATCTAATTAATTGATCATCTTAAACTATCTGCTCCCTTGAAAATTCACCAAAAATTCATAGTTTTTTCTCCTCAAGATAAAGTTTAATTTCAAATATGGGTTAAACCAATATTCAATGTACACATATCCCCTAGGGGATGATAGAATATAATCAATTAATCATTGAATCAAACAGTTTAATTGACACATTAAATTAATCAACCTCCTTTAATTTCTCGAGTGTCTACATGTTATTGGATTTTAACATACTAAAATTAGATACTGGGGAACATAACAACCAATGGAATATGTTCCAGGATTATTTTTTTAAAAAAAAAAAATCTATAGAAAAAAATGTGAGAGAAAAGAAAGATAAAATAAAGAAAAAGATTTATTTAGTGGTAAAAGAAAATTTTCCATCTGGAAGCTTTTAGCATCATCAACACATAAATCTTGAAAGTTTTTTAGAGGAATAATCCTACAATTATCTCTCTTAATTATTTTTGAATCGCAAAAATTAAAGAGTTTAAGATTTATGCAATAATATTTACATAATCGATCACTTATTAGAATAATTATAGGTAAACTCAAACTTTCATTAATAATGACTAAATAAATATCACAATCTAAAAAAATCGTTATACTCTCTGTGTATATAAGTTAAATTTAAATTTTAGTGAGTGGCCATGGTGGATTTTGGCATATATCTTCATAATTTTTTTTTATCGCTAGGCTTTATACTATTTTTTTCTATCTAGGTTCTATACAAAGAACAAAGTAACATTAAAGAACAATTAATTAATTAAAATATCAATTGTTTAGGAAGATCCACTTTTATTATTTATTTTATTTCTTAGTTATTTTTTGTAGGAAGAATTAAAAGTTCTTTTTCTACTTTTACAGTTTAATTAGTAACACAAGTCATTTTCTTGATTGTCTACACCAAGTCATATGTGTTTTTATTAATTAGAAAAAGTCATAAATTAAACCAGCTGTCACCAATGTATAACGATCTATTTATCTATATATGATGAGAATTAAGTATCCAACAAATGGCAATTCTGGAGGAAAGTGCCAATGAAACTCCACACAAGGAAACAGCTAACGATGAATGTCCGATATTTATATTGGGATTTGATTAAATACAAATTCGTATATTACAGAATTCATTTTTAGAAACGACTTTTCCAATAGAATTTTTCATATGGAGCGATCCCAGTTACCATTCCACCATAATCTGCAAGGAATATCTTAATTACTCATTACTTTTGATTAATTTTAATCCTGTCTGGTTAAAATGCTCCTTTCATTTCTTTCTTTTTATCTTAATCTTTTCCTTGATCATCAACACATGGAAAAGTATAATCCAATACGGAAAGATAAACTTATTTATACCGAGTATTTATATTAAGTCAATAATTGTATGATATGTAAATTTTATTTTAAAAATTCGTTTAACTATAATTAATTACAGTATATTATATATAATATTTTATATAAGATTATTTAATTATGATAAAATGATATGATTTAATGTAAATATTCGATGCGAATTCGTTAAGTTGATTTTTGCTATGACGTTTTTAATTAATGTAGTTGTGTTTTAGTTAGTGCACAAACCGTTCATCCACATACGTGTATATAAGGAGAAAAAATATTGTGAAATATTGGGTGGGGAGATGGAAGTTATTAGGTGAGTTAGTAATTCTGATTAAAAAAAATTCCCAAAATATGATGAAGTAATTATTATTTTTCCGATTAAGCTATTATTCAATAGTGGAAATCTTATTCCAACGAAAAGTTGTAATGAAGAGAGTTAGATCTAACCTCAAAATATAATACTTGATTAAAAAAATTATTATAGACTCAATTGAAATTTTGTGTGATAATCTTTTGACAAAAGAGAGATTCAATTGAATCGCCTTTCGATCATTCAGCTCCATCCTTTGAAGGGAATTAGTGAAAGATGTAGAGGTTTTACCATAGACACATTGTATGTATTTCATTCGATTTGAACTATATATATGTAAGTGAAATATGTTTTACATATATATGTATCTACACTACTTTTGCACATATCGTGAGTAACACGGAAAATGAAAGCTACAGTTGTAAAAATAATTAAGTAAATAAAAGTGTGTTTATCTTAAATATTTTAATTTTCTTCAAATGAGAAGGTCATACACAAACAAAAGTAAATAAAAAGTATTGGATTTGATTCTCACCGCCATTTTAGAAAGAAAAAGGAAATTATAGCTTTAACTCGTTGAAAAAAAGAATCAGACACGCATGTGATTTTTCGCGGTGCGGATGAAAGGGTCCCCCACCTTCCAACCCTAAAGTTAATAAATGCTCTTACAAAATTTAGAAACTCACACTAACCTATCTGCAATCTGCATGGTGGCTAGTCTTGGCGTGACAATATTCAATTTGTATCACTTGGCTTTGGGACCACCCTTTAACATCAAAAATAAATATATTGTTGCTCCTATTATATATATATATATACTTTCTCCTTTACATGTTCATTATATTAAAATATATATCTAACTTTAAAAATTAAGAAACAATTTGTTATTTTATATAAAAAAATTATCTTTATTATTAAACATTATTTATTTTTTAATAGTTAGATGACTCATAACTAATATGAGTGATGTACACTATTAATAAAATCACTATATTTCATGAAGAATCCTTGGTTATTTCCAACGATATTTTGATTTTTGAATAGATGAGAAAAGAAAAAACAATAACGTTTTTATATGGAAAAATTAGAAGTTTCCTACTATTTCAGTGAGAGTTTTTTCCTCACCTGTATTGTTTAGTGAGCGAAATGAGTTAGAGAAATCATATTCTATAGTAGGGGTGTACAAAATCGAACCAAACTGCAAATCGAGTCAAACCGAAAAAAAATCCGACTAGTGGTTTGGTATTGAAAAAAACCCGACTATATTTGGGTTGGTTTGGTTTTAACTAAAAAAAACCAACCCGACA